ATGTAGATAAATTTAAATTTAAGTGATATTTATAATTTATTTACGATAGACACAAAGGTATACGTTTTTCTTAACACTAGATTGTGGTTTCTGTTTAGCTTGTTTGTGTCTTGCTTTTTAATATTTTGTTATTTTTCTTATTACAATCCTGATAGTTCTTGTATTATTCTATCTTGAAGTTAGAATTAAACGGCCACATAAATCACTCTTCTTGTTTTTCTAATCTACATGGTCTACTCTATAAGTTATTGGCCAGTGAATTAGTTATTTACTTACAAGCAGTACTTCAAATGTGATCTCTCTGATTTCAATGAAATTTACACTTACATGTATAAACGAGAAGCACGAGGAATTTTAAACTTTTTTTCCAGTCATGCGTAATACAATACATGCCTACCCTAAATACCTATTAAGAGAATTTTATGTGTTATGTTAGATGGACGAAGATGATCCTGTGCCAGAAATAACCAGAGCACATTTTGAGGAAGCAATGAGGTTTGCTCGACGTTCGGTGTCTGACAATGATATTCGAAAATATGAAATGTTTGCACAAACGCTTCAGCAGTCACGCGGATTCGGAACTAATTTCAGGTATGATAAATATCTTTAGTTAGATAATAATTTCTATGAAAATTATGAGTTCAATAGCACTGGCAATTAACATTCATTTATTTAAATATTTGACCAGATTTCCGCAGAGCGGAGGAAGTGGTACCCAAGATACAACGCAAGGTGATCAAACCTTCCAAGATGATGGTGACGATGATCTTTATAGCTAAGTCTTCGTGTCTTTGTACCTCATTACAGCGAGCATACGACAAAAGGGCCTGTTTCTGTTTTATAGAAAAAACTTTGCGTTTACTAACAGACAATGTGCAGAAACGAATTTTAAGAAACTAAAAACTGTGAGAACACAAATTTCTATTTGAAATTCATATTCTAAAAAATCTATGCATTTGCATGCAGTTTTTATACACGTAATTGGGGCAGCTCTTAAGTGAGGTAAGATAAACAAAATTTAGTTAAAAACCATTTTTGATAAACAATTTTCGAGTTAAGCCACGTCTGATGCTGAATAATTTAAACATTAAATATAAAATTTATTTAAATACATTTCAAGTTAGTATTTAAATACATTCCGTTGTTATTTATATGTTTGATATTTCAAGTGTAATAAATGATACATATAGGATTTGGAAGTTAAATAATAATTCTCTCAGTAAAAATATAGTTGTAATTTATTTGTATGTACGACTGATCTATAGTTGTAATACATACTGCCCTGATATTTCATCTCGTTTACATGCTGCATAGAATCATAAATTTTCAATCATTTTTATCTATTCACTTTTACATCCATATGAGCTAAATGTAATTCTAGCTCATTTAGTAACAGTGTCATAAATTTCAATGTAGAGAGATAGACCCTTTTGTTAAGTTGCCTCTGAATTCTATAATTACATTTTATTGTTCACACTCTAAGATTACAGTAACGTGGGAGTTTATGCAATGTCAGTGAAATTGTTGGAACTGGTGATGTGTATTGGTGAATTTGCAGTCTGCTTGTAGTAGTAAATTTACTTACAAATTACCAAAGAATCTTTTGAAACCTATCATTTTAGAATAAAGTGTTAAAATCATACATTTTATTGCATTATTTAGAATCTCATGATGATTGGTCTTTTCAGAGAGCAATACAGTAAATAAAATTATATTGGTATGCAATCCAATAAAGTTAGACAGTTTATATACTTCTGACATAAGTTTTCAATAATTTTGTATAAAATGTCACTCATAACATAAAGGCGGGTGTCCATCTGTGAGTTTCTTCGCAAGTTGCTCTCGCTAATACTCGAGAGTTATGTATACATTTGAGAGCAGCTTCGAGAGTTCTCACTGTCGGAGATCTCTTACTAAGGGTCACTATCGGGAAGAACTATCAGAACCGTATCCATTTGAGAGTCGTTTTATAGCCATGTTTTGTATTCGACGCATTGGTTTCGAACTAAGAGACCCCGACGAGTGATACACACCAGTATACGCTTGTTTTGATGAAACTTTGTTCAAAAATCAAAAGTTATGTAAGAAATCATTTTTCCACTACCCTGGAAATGTGTAAATATCTAGAAAAATTATTCAACGGAACTATTTGTTTCTATTTTTTCTTATTTCTGTATACAACCCTCGATGTACTAAGTTTCATTGTATAGATATTATTCGTTGCGGTAAGTATTTTATTTGAAGTTTATAAAATCAACAAAAATACTTCGCGCTAGATTTTAATCTTCTTTATTTATAATAAAGGTTCTTCGAGTTTTACCTAATATTTGTTTTTCAGTTAAAAGTACTTGGATACTTCGAGCACTTTTTCCGAATTCATTTCTCTCGCACATTTGGAAAACGTGTTTTTTTCTCCCTCTGGAGCTATATAGGATAGTGGAGCCGGTTACTGTTGGGTGACCAATTGCTTTTATGATAAAGAGATGAAATGAAAGAATACAAACATTTAATATACCTTATTCGATAAAAATAAAGCTAATTACGTTCGAAAATAAACCATAGGCATAGCAGTTGATCACCCCACAGTAACCGACCCTACTACTCTATACATATAACCTCTCGAAATTGGCGGAGAATCCTACTTATAAGGAGAGGTCCCCAGAGTTGACGTTCACTTTATGATGAGATTTGGTACAGTGATTCAATGATACCCTGTTTTAGGGGCAGATGGCTTATAGTTTTTGAAATAATTAATGTTAAAGTTGTTAATAGAAGATTAGGAAGACGCGCGAGGGTTCAGGTAGACTGGATCGAATCTCTCCCACCTTTCCCCACTCCCTAATATTTCTAATATTGTACTGATGTGGTACCCTTTCGCTCGCGTTATTGAGAACAGTTCGGCTCCGACCGATAATGCCCGAACCGTGCACCGATTCTTACACCCTCATTTGGTCGTTACATTTTTTATTTGACATACTTTTATTAAACAATTATGTAATTATTCATTGACTTGTTAAAAAATCCAGTTTTTTAATTACAATTTTCATACATATGTATATGCCGTACAACTATTTAAATATAAATATATTTTAAATATTTGTAGTTTTTTTTTTTATAAATAATGTTAACAAAGGGTCTAGCCGATTAAGATGGTCAAAATTACCCTTAGAGGTCTTTCAATAACTATTATACCGTTCAATAGCTGGACAAAAGAAACTTATCTGTGCAAAATTTCCACCCTGTTACTTGTCCGTGATGATATAAGTTACAGGGTAAATTAGATTGCGCACTTTTCCGCCGATTTCCCCCCTACGGTAGCATTTTAAAATGTTGAAAAAAATGTGGATTATTTTAGACATCAAGCCGCATACTACAGAATTTTTTCAGATTGTTTGGTTGCAAGCTGTGGTTATTAAAAATGGAAAACCAAGGAAAGATCGGAAAATCGAAGATTTCTCGAAAATAAAAATATGGGCTATTTTTACATCATAAGGTACTATCATAAGCAATGTGTTCAATTCTTCTCAGATTTTTCGTTCGACTGCTTTATTGTAAAAAAAAATGAAAACCGAATTTGTCGACGTTTTTGCTGCGAAAGAAAAAGTTACACTTGTTGGGCTTACCACAAGTGTAGGTTAAGTAATTTTAAACGTCCTTACTTTGAAACAAGCAATTTTTTAACCTACGAAATGCGATTTAAGAGAAAGAAAAAATTGTTACGTGCATAAGTGCTTTGTAGACTGCTTCTCTCTTTTTAAAACTGTCCCTTCTTATTACTCTGTGTTAAATTATTATGGAGATGTGGCAACATCTTTCATCAAGAGACAAGAAAAGGTTAAAAAAAAAAAATAAAAACTAATACGTTGGAAACTCGACCAGAAATGAGACCTGAAAGAATGGTTGATGAAAACATTCATAATAAAACCGATGCATCTAACGTACGGACAAAATCAGTAAAAATTGATGAATTGTTTCATAAATCTGATAGTGATAAATCAGATCTATTAAAAAGTCGAGTATAGAAGTAAATTCGAAAGAAAAATTAAGATAATAACCTAATAAATCTGTAACAGAAACAGATATGCACAATGAGTCTTTTTCTTCTCAAAATGATATAGATGAGATAGTCGATACAATCGAACTTAGGAGTGAAAGAATTAAGCATCGCCCTCTTATTTCGTATAATGAATGTGACACACAAAATGATATTATCTTATGTGCACAATCATGTATAAATAATATACCTAGCTCATTTGAAAAGATTGAAAGTAGGCATGTTAAAATTCATTGGAAACCGGCAATAAATAGTGAAATTAATTCACTGATATTAAATAAAATTTGGACATTAGTTAAGAAACCTAAAGATGTAAATATATAGTCGACTGTAAATGGATATTTATTATTAAGAATGATGAACATGGAAATCCGTCGAAGTACAAGGCACGAATTGTTGCGCGTGGATTCAGTCAGGGATATTTAACTGACTACATGTAATGAAACATTTGAACTAATTACAAGAATGGCTAGTTTTGGATTTTTTAAAATTATAAGCTTCCAAATCTCAAATGAGATTTATTCGCTATACAGTAAAGTGAGTGTACTTAATCATAAACCTTAAATAGTAATTCGTGGGTTATTTATACATTTATATTACATGTTTTTAAGAACAATAGGATACATGTACACGCTTCGATATTGGGTTTAACAAGCAAAACAAACGTGGTGGTTGGTAGAAATAATTTTAAGCTGATACAGTTTGGATTTTTTGAGATTCGTAAAAAGGACGTTGCCAGACAATAGGGTCGATATCTCGTTCGCTACTATTGCATGAACATCTGGGATTATCCGATAAACCTACTCGAAATAGAGAGGAGGCTGAAGAGTAGTGGTTAGCTCTGCAGCGATTGATCATCACAATTAGTTAGTGGGAAAGTTTTTTTTACTTTTCCCTTTACTCATACCAAGCTTTTGTGTTACTGTTCATGATCCGCAACAAGTCTCCGCGAAAATCCGTGAAGAGAATGAGAATTTGTACATTGGAGTTTATATTTATGTTACTCATTTTTTTAGCAAGAGAACCAGCTGGCTCATTTCCAGAAATGCATATATGAAAAGGAATCCAGTAAAATTTAATGTAGCCCTGTTTGTTTTTTATATGTTGTAATTCTTGGTATTTCTTTAATTGAGAAAATAAACGACTTAATTGCGATCCGTGTAGCTAGATTAGCAGTTAGCCCTAAGTGAGTCAGAAAATATAAAATTATTTAAATTACATAAATAATAATTTACATAAATAACGGTACTATAACATGCTATGAGAAAAAAAATTGAGATTGACATTGGTGATTTAAATCCTTAAATGGATCCTTAAATGCTATACTTCTACAAATTAGTAAAAGAATACCACCATCCTGTGAATTTGTTCTATCTTTTCTATACGTTATAAATTCGGGAAATTGAATGCTGGTATTGGTTGGCTTCGAACACAATTCAACACAAACAAAGATGTCAATGTTACGAAGTTATTGCTCGTTTTCTTCTTTGTGCTCTAAAAAACTTCTTGCATTCTGGTACAAAATTTTAAGATCCGCTGCAGGTTAGTTGGACACGTTGGTGAATTGGTGGGAGTAAATTATATTTCTTGATCTTCGATAGAATTGAGGCCCTCCTGATCTGATTTCTCTAATTTTTTAATGGCCCGAATTATTCTGCTTTTTAGAGTACGTTCTGGCACGTGAGATGCCGTATGTCTTAGTATATTCGATAAGGCTGGAATAATTGGCGTGAAACCGAGAGCTATTTCTTTAGAGTTGTGTTTACCAAAGTTGTGTTCACCTTAAGAGACTAAGTGGAAATCTCTGATGGTCCCACCCAATTTAGCCCAATACAGGGTGTCCGAAAAATGTCTCGTAATCTGAAAATAGGGGATTCCTGGGATCATTTGACATAACTTTTTCCTCAGCGAAAATACAATCCGCTGCTTTGTTTACGAGATATTAACGAAAAACAGGGACCAATAATAGGCGAGCTCGGCTGGCGCGAGGCGGCCCAGTCAACGAGCGCACGAAGCCCAGTTCCGCTCATTGGCTCGGCCGTCTCGTGCCAGCTGATCTAGCCTCTCATTGGTCGCCGTTTTTCGTTAATAACTCGTTAACGAAGCCGCGGATTGCATTTTCACTAAGGAAAAAGTTAGTTCAAATGACGTCAGGAACCCCCATTTCCGGATTGCGAGAGATTTTTGGGGCACCCTGTATAGCAGATAAGGTGACACTGGAAGGACATTTAATGCCGACCGGAATATAGGGAAGTCAGGATTGGATAAAGGAACGAGCATCAGTTGGTATAATCAGCAACTGTTGTAAAGTCTTCTGGCCAGATTCAGTGTTTTTGCAGTTTTTGGCTAAGTGGCATTCCTCTTTACACAGAAAGCACGCGATCTTTCGATTAGAAAAATATATCCAGTATGTTGTGTTATCATGAGTAATCTGCATTGATTCCGATATTCTTAGTTAGATCTTCTGGATTTACGTACACCTATCTGAGAAAACTCATGACATGTGCATATTCAGGGTCATTTACACCTGCTTTTATGAAAGACAGTTGTGAAACCGGCTTTACGCCACGTTCTTGTAATTTATGTTCTATAGTCGTGTACGGTATGATAGGGTATACATTCGTAATAATAATACGAGTTGCTTTCGATTCTTACGACCGAATAGCAAGTGTGTGTATATCAATGGTTTTTGACTGTTTTGCCTTGACTATTGAGATATACACAGACTCTACCGTTCGAAATTTTAGAGGCGAAACGAATATTTTNGCCCAGTTCCGCTCATTGGCTCGGCCGTCTCGTGCCAGCTGATCTAGCCTCTCATTGGTCGCCGTTTTTCGTTAATAACTCGTTAACGAAGCCGCGGATTGCATTTTCACTAAGGAAAAAGTTAGTTCAAATGACGTCAGGAACCCCCATTTCCGGATTGCGAGAGATTTTTGGGGCACCCTGTATAGCAGATAAGGTGACACTGGAAGGACATTTAATGCCGACCGGAATATAGGGAAGTCAGGATTGGATAAAGGAACGAGCATCAGTTGGTATAATCAGCAACTGTTGTAAAGTCTTCTGGCCAGATTCAGTGTTTTTGCAGTTTTTGGCTAAGTGGCATTCCTCTTTACACAGAAAGCACGCGATCTTTCGATTAGAAAAATATATCCAGTATGTTGTGTTATCATGAGTAATCTGCATTGATTCCGATATTCTTAGTTAGATCTTCTGGATTTACGTACACCTATCTGAGAAAACTCATGACATGTGCATATTCAGGGTCATTTACACCTGCTTTTATGAAAGACAGTTGTGAAACCGGCTTTACGCCACGTTCTTGTAATTTATGTTCTATAGTCGTGTACGGTATGATAGGGTATACATTCGTAATAATAATACGAGTTGCTTTCGATTCTTACGACCGAATAGCAAGTGTGTGTATATCAATGGTTTTTGACTGTTTTGCCTTGACTATTGAGATATACACAGACTCTACCGTTCGAAATTTTAGAGGCGAAACGAATATTTTTAGGTCCCATAATTCGACCAATAGAGATAACGTATTCTTTGATGGAGATACCGTCGATAGCATCAGTAACGATCGTTTGTTCCTTTTTTGAAAATTGATCGTGTTGGCCCATTGCTGCATATGAAACTTTGTTGGTAATGGGACTGTTCGACAAATCCGTGGTTAAGACAAAACTTTGTGAGTGGTCGTTCCTGCTGCCAGAAACGCTCATTCAGAGAACGTAGAGGCATAAAGAAATTACACTTAAATTACACGTACCAATTCAAACTATGAGGCACTAAATAGTCCAAGTTTTAGATTTATAATAGTTTCTCAAGGAATTGCTGTAACTTCATCGGTTGTCTAATGTACATTATTTTATGTATAAGGCCCGATTTGAGTGCGGCAATAAATATCTTGAGTAGATATACAAATAAAAATAATAAAGAACTTCGGCAGAATTTAAAGCAAGTATTCAGATAGCTCAAAGGTTTAATTAATATTAAATTAACGTATGTAAGAGGTAATTATGATGACATGGATATGTCGATTCTGACTGGGGAGATCATGATGAAAATGACAAAAGAAGTACAACGCGGGATTATTATATTATTATTATATTATTATTATTATTATACTATTATTATATATTATTATTGTCATTATTATAGTGCAACGGGATATTTATTCATATTATTTGAACAATTCACAGTTTGTTAGTCAACAAGAAGACAAGCATCTGTGGCTGTTTCTTTTACCGGAACAGAATATACAGGATGTCCCAAAAATGTCTCGCAAACCGGAAATGAGAAGTTCCTGGGATCATTTGAAGTAACTTTTTCCTTAGCGAAAATGCAACCCGTGACTTCGTTTACGAATTATTAACGACTGACCAATGAGAGGCGAGCTCAGCTAGTGCAAGGCGGCCGAGCCAATGAGCGCACGAAGCCCAGTTCCGCTCATTGGCTCGGCCGCCTTGCGCCAGCATATCTCACCTCTCATTGGTCACTCTTTTTCGTTAATAACTCGTAAACAAAGCCGTGGATTGCATTTTCGCCAAGAACAAACTTACTTCAAATTACCTCAAGAACCTTCCATTCTCGGATTGCGAGACATTTTTGGGACACCCTGTATGACACCTTTTGAAGCCACAAGAGAGGCCATGTGGTTAAAATTTTTAGCATCGATATAAATATTTCAAAGCCGATAGCGATATTCAAAGATAATACTGGCTATATAAATATAGCGAATAATCCGGGTAATCACAAGAAATTGGAACATATAGATATTAAATATCATTCTTTTAGAGAACAAGTTAAGAAAAATGTTATTAGATTAGAATTTATTTCTACAGATAAACAAGTAGCTGATATTTCAACAAAACCACTGCCAGTACCTAAATTCGTGGAATTTAGAAGAAATATGCGTGTTAGAATAAAAATTATACTTAAACTAATAATTAAACTTAAGTATTTGGTCTAATATAATCTATTGGATTTTTCCCAGGTCTATATCGTAAGATCTTCCTTATTTTTTGAAAGTTCTGACGAATTACAGTCCGTTACTACTTTGAATGTTCAATTGCTAACGTCTCAAGTTCGTATGAATGGTATCGTGACTCTGGTTCTGTTTTCAGACTGTATTGCAAAACACGTGCGACTTACACCGTAGCCCTTGGCACTTGCAAAGTAACCCTCAGCATTAGGGCAAAGATTCTGTTGAACATTTATTTATAAAATTAAAATTTGTGATATACAGTTATATACTAAATTGATTGATCAGTACATTGATAATTATATCCGTTAAATTATGATAGTGCTATTATTTATTAAATAAATAAAGCATCTCCGATCGATAATTGTCAGAACATTAGTCTCTACGGTAATCACGACATCTCTTAATTTACTTTTGTACTGGATTCATGTGTACATATTATGATTTGAATGACCCTTACGACGGGACATTGGTGCGTTGTATGTGTGTTTGCGTGTCTAACGGCTAAATTGTACGGTTCCCGTATCCTTGCCCTTGTACAGAACCGACACTCGAAGTGTGAACACGTGCCTAATAAGAAAATATTATATAAGTAAGTAAAGTATATTTTTCACAACGCGCAGATAAATTATTTGACCAACCCTCCAACAATAATTTTTTAGAAATTGGAATTTGAATAAATAAGTCACTCATTTGAAATTTGATAATTGTTTAGAGCAACGTCCTGCTCACCAATTGTTTTGCGCCTTTGCTATATCGTATATTTCGATGTATGGATCGAGAATCTGAAAGGAAAAATTATCGCTTTCTTTTCGTTTTCGAGATATAAATATTTATATATATAGATAGATAAATAACGGTAGCCACTTCCAATTTCGATGATTTTTTAATATGTTGTAGAATTCGATATTTTGAACAACTTTTACCTGCACATGTAACTACCGCACGGCTTTAGTTTTCGAGATATAGTAACTGGCACGATGCCGCACTATATAGCTTCGGGCCGCAAGCGACTTTCCACTCGGCGAAATAAGGAAATCTAACCCGAACCTAAGCCTATCTCGAAAGCTAAGGCCGAGCGGCAGTTATATGTATAGGTTAAAATTATTCGAAATATCGAATTCTACAACAAATTAAAAAAATCATCGAAATCGGAAGTATTGGATTTATTTATCTACATATCCCTTATTTATCTACATATAAACAGTTATATCCTGAAAACGAGGAGAGAACGACAATTTCTTGTTTCCGATTCTTGATCCACACATTAAACAATACAATATAGCAAAGGCGCAAAAGAATTGGTGAGGAGGACGTAATTCTACACAATTACATGATTTCTATAAATATTAATATTTTCGTTAATGATAATGTAAAATGTCTCAAAAATGATAAAATCAATTGATTAATGACAAACTCGGGGTAAACTGATTGTGTGCGAAAACGAAATTTGTAGTGACTTTAAGGTTAAGTCTACCTAACCTAAAACTTGTACATTTCTTAACCAAAGTTTGTTAACCTCAATAGATGTAACTGCCTAAAAGAGCGTTGTTTTTATATGTAAACTGATGAATGTGTTAAACAGTTCAATATTGTGTGATGAAAATCGGGCGAAATAACGAAGGACATTCGTATGTTTTTTTATACGTTCATAATTTTTTGCAGACTGTCCGTCTTTCTCTCGCTCGTAGAATTTTCTAGCATACACGCCCTCATTCTTCCATCGAATTCTACAATATGATTCATTGATCTTTTAAATTTATCTTTTATCATTATATATTATTATCATTATTATCATTATTACCATTATTATCATTATTATCATTATTATTATTATTATTATTATTATCATTATTATTATCATCATTATTATCATTATTATCATTATCATTATTATCATTATCATTATCATTATTATTATTATCATTATTATTATCATTATTATCATTATTATCATTATTATCATTATTATTATTATAATTATCTTTTATTATTATTTATTATTCTTCTTTTATTTTTTTAACTTTATATCCAGTTTTCGTTTCAGGGGCTCATTGCCTCATAGTAGTGATCGAATCGATACCAAATCGATACGTATCGATACTAGACCACAAATTCTGATACCGAATCGAATAATATCAAAAATGTAGGTGTCAGAAGTATCAATATCTGTTTGATACTTTACAAATGTATCGATACTGGTTTGAGACAATATATTAGAATTTCAATATCCGTTTTATATCGTTCGAAATGTTCATCTTTCGTAATTCTTTCTTCGCTTCCTTCTTTTGTTTTTTATATTCTCCATTCAAGAATTTTTTTAAAATTTTTATACAAGGTAAAACGCGTATTTGGGGTCGACTTACTGCATTAATTGTCTGAAATCCTTATCTTCAACTATCGAAAACGGCTAAAATCTGTTATGATTAAATTTAAAATAAATTCATCAATTCGATACTTCTTGCAGTTATCGTCGGTATAAGGCACATAAACGTGATCACTACTAATTGTACTATTTTCCCAGTCGTTGTTAAAAATACTATGTACTTTTAAAGATTTCAATCTTTTGTGACATATATTGCAATGTACACCATTGTCAGCAACATTTGTATAGTAATATAATATATAATTTTTTAAATATATAATTATATATATATATATATATATAACAAACAAAAATATATATATATATATATATATATATATATATATATATATATATTTTTGTTTGTTTTTTTTTCTCT